AAGAAGTAATTAAGGAAGTATTTTGATCACTATGAAACTTTCCCTGTTCAATGGCATTATTTATTGAAGATAAGCTCAATGGCCCAACCTGATCCCATATCTCCTGAAAAAGTTCAGGGGGAAGGCCATCTGAACCAGAGGACTTACCCAATTTCATGGATTTTAAAGGGCCATGAAACCCCTGTTTCAGCTGGATGTTTTCACACCTCTAGTTTGGAAAAAAGTCAGGAAAGTGGGTGTGTCTAGCTCTGTATGGTTGGGAGTGTCGGGGAAGGGAAAATGGGCAGGGTTTGAATAAAAATGGGAGTTGCCATTTGGGCACACGCAGCTGACCGAGGAAAAGCAAACACACACGCAGGGGAGAAAGACAGTATGTTTAATGACGATGAAATGTTTGATGCTGCACGTCGTATGAGAGAAAAAAAATACTCTGCATTTCTCTGTAACTCAGATGCACTCAGTAGGTCAGAAAGCCGTGTGTGTAGACTATCCTGTCACAAAATGCGGCGAAAATTCAACACGACCGTAGGCAAAAGTTTGCTTACAGTGTTCACGTGTTTGCACACAGATCTTTCAATATTGTAGTGCTATTAACATACTGTAAACTAAGTAACTTAGAAATCATTTTGACTAAGGTCTGTCTTTAAACACTGAAAGAGTACTGCTGACCATACGAATTATAACTCTGCCATCTGAATGGACAAAGAAAGGGCACTGATTGCACACACTTACCGAATCTGTAGACAGGATAATCAACACATACTGGAGCTGCATCTTTTTTTAAAGGAGACGAGCAGCAAATCCGAATCTGACCATTGATTAGAAATGCTCTCGAGTAAAAAATATTCCAAACAAACGTATTTCTGCCTCGCGTCGCTTGCACGGATCCACATGTGAGTCCAGCAGCGGTCTCATAGAGAGAAAATGAAAACAAAACTTTCACATTATAAAAGCAACACTGGCGACTAGTATCTTCAAACAATTCTTATTCTTTCTCCACTCCTTTTGGCAACACAACATGTGTCGTCTCTCTGCCATCTGAACACTGTTTCAGGTACAGTCTAAGAAAGCTAGCATGCATATTAATGAAGTTGCAGCGCATACATAATGGAGCACGCTGATTGGTTTGAACCAAGCCATACTCATGAAACAATGCAGCACACTCAGAGACGTAATATGGGACTCCCATGTAGACGTCCAGTCTACACACCGGAATACTCGCTAAGGACTCATGGCCGTGACGCAGCTTCAAAAATTTGCTTCAAACCGGAAGTAAGAATTTACTAGAAATAATGCAAAAACAACCAATTTTCACTTTTTAATGAAATATATGTGTCCTAATAGTGTTTTTTTAGCAGTGTGGGACATATATATGACAGTCAACAGTGTTGTTTTGGTGTTTCGTGACCCTTTAAAGCTCTAGTCAACTCCACCAGTGTGATAGGGGCACCTAGAGCTTTAGCTTCTTCTGGTGATAAAGAGGGAAGGTGTAGATTTTTTTTTAGAAAATCAGACATTTTACCATCATTTGGGTCTACTTCTGCTTGAACGTTTTTATAAACTTCTAATTTTAACAGTTATGTCTTACTCAAAATATCATACAAGAAAATATAAAATGAAGCTAAATGTCTATTTCTTATATAATTCTCATGTTAAAATCTATAAAACATAGTAGTATTGTAATTAAATTAAGCTAATTAATTATTTGTACTGTAGCCTTTTTCATTCATTGAATCCAAAAACAAACGACTCCAACAACTCTCTCAAAGTTAATGTATACAAACACCTATTAAAAATAAAAATAAACTTTTTATTACACAAATATCTGTGTAAGGTCCACCCAGTTGGTCCAATGGATTAGTCCATTGGTGGATGAATGTTCAATGCCTGTTCGGTCTTTCCAGTGCACAATGTTGATTTACATTAAATTGAACTCATATATGACTCCAATTTGAATATGAGGTGGTTTAGAATATCAATATATTTATCTTTATATTTATATTTATCTATATTTATCTTATATTATAAAACATTGATAAGATTATTTAGTTTCTTTTAACATTACTTAAGATTATGATGGAATATTCTCTTAGATGCAATATTTTATGTTATTCTCATTTATTCAGATCAAGTGTGCCGCAAGCCTACGTTTGAGTGAAGGTTTCGGCCGTTAGATCGCCCCCTGGGGGCTGGCTGCAGTACAAGTCATAAAGCCCGCCTCTCCGTGTTAATGAAGGAGACTTGAGCCCAAATAAAAAAAATTATTACACTTGCAATAAAATGTCCCGAAAGATAGTTCTGGTCGATTAAGGCACTGGTTATTGTGCTGAAATAGGTGCAGATCTTCATTTTTGTAAACAGTTTGTTTTTAGCAGTAAATTAATGCTGGGCGTGTCATCGTGATTGACAGCTGTGATTGACAGTTTCTCAAAGCGCGGCTGCTGAGCTTCGGCAGGAGACTGAAGTAGACTGAAATGTTATTATTCGATTTCTGTGTTATTTTAACATGACAAAATGAGTTCAGCAGTAAACTATAGTTTCTGACATACATGATCCTGGTGGAACACTGTTTATTCGCTAAGTTCAGGGCTTTTTTCGGGCTTTATTAGTATGCTGATACACGCCTAGCCACCCAGATAGCAAAACACAGTTCCGGCTAGATTCTCGCCTGCCGGAGACTTATCTCTTAGAGCTCAGACTGACTAATGTTACCTCTGCTGGACCTTCTCCGGATGCCTGGACTCACTACCCAATTCCAGCCCGAGTCAATCGAGCCAGATGCGGCGGCCGAGCGAGCCGGCGCTGCCGCATGCGAGCCGGAATCAGTCCGCGACGCCGCGAGTAAGTTATGCGCTGCGGCCCGGAGCTGGCGCGATTGAATATATAAAACCCTCATATTTGTTAACGTTATTACATCCATCTGTGTTGATATGACAGCAAACGCATGCTGAGAAGTTCGGGGGGCGTAGTTGATTTTACATAAAGCGTTTGATTGGAAGCTCGACTCTGCTCATTTTCGCGGCTCCTCCTCTGGCTCCATCAGACAATCCTTCTGCGCATGTCTGGCTCCAATTTCAGCAGTCTTTTGCGACAGTTTGTGCCCGTCAAGCAGGCGTTTTGCCCTCAAGGCGTTCAATGGGAAAAAGGGCTGTCGCGTCGTCCATATTTTTTACAGTCATTGATTCAGATTCCTATAGCATCCTGAGTGTTGTACCGGCCGAGTATACAATCTCTTTACCACAAGCTTGTCAGTCTTGGTCATTAAACAGAGGCGATTAACCACTTTCCTAAAAGGCAGAACCCTACTTACTCATTTAGGATATTTTGGGCCCTATTATACAACCGGCGCAATGTGGCGCAAGGCGTGATGCAATAGTTGTTTGCTAGTTTCAGCTTGGCGCAAGAGTCGTTTTGAGACGTTTCGCTACGCTGTTTAAATAGCAATGCATTTGTGCTCATATGTGCGCCCATATGCTTTCTGGTATAAAATGGAAGGCGTTCTGAGGCGCATTGCTGGCGCGTTGCTATTTTGAGAATCTATAATAGATCTTTTAATAGACCAAAACAAACCCGGTCTAAAGTCCAGCGCAGAGTTGCGCCTCGCTTACACACTGCTTAATACACACAAGATGTAGAGCAATACGCAAATATCTTTTTATATGAAAAAAAAATCAAATATTAAGGATATCTATATGATATAATAGGAATGTGAAAAACCACTGCTTTTATGCTTTCTTCATCTCGGGAGGCTTTTTCAGTTCATTCATAACAATTTGTTTTTGTATAATGTTATTATTATTAGCAGTATTATTTATTATATCCATATTTATATTTGTTTTATTAAAAACAAGCTTAGATTTGCCCACCTGCAGGTTTTAGACCATGTGGGGCACAGCATGTGTATTAGGATATAACTCAGTATTTTAACCACACTTCATTATTATTGTTCATTTATTCGTTTGCTGGAAATTAGAACTGAATTTAGAAATATATTTGAAACAAATATTGCACTTATCAAACGAAATTTATTATTTATAGGCTAATTGATTCCTGTGCATAAAGGTTTCCCTATCCACGAGAGCGAAAGTGAAAGTAGATAATTTATCTCTCATTCTCACGCGGTAGATGCTCTGTTTAACTGTTTTCTTGCTAGTGAAATGCTCAGTTTTTCCACTTACACTTACTTTACGTCATGTAAATAGCGAATGCGCTTATGGCGCGATGCAACTGGCTCTTAAAGGGAATGGGAGATGAGACTCTGATTGGTTTATTCTCAAAACACACCTATAAATCATTAAGAAAACTAACTCAACTCTTTTAGACCATGCGCCACAGCGCAAAGTGGATTTTACCGTCCTTATATTAGCAAAAATGCATTCTGACACGCCCTGAAAGTGTTTTGCGCTTTGCGCATGGACCGTCAATATAGAGCCCTTTATGTGGTTCCCATAGATCTGTTATCTACTGAATCAAGACAAATTTTTTTAGTCATATAGTGTAAGTTTGTAGATGAAGGCCAAACTTACCCACATTTAGATTGGTCTCAACAATATTTTGTTGTTCTAAATAGGAAACCTATTTTTGGCCTTTTACAGTCTAAGGATACTTGAATTAATGCCAATATGTTAGTCGGGGCTCTAAGAACATCGTATAGCGTGCCACACTGCTCCGTTTAACGTGTTTTAGTCCGTTACTAACCTGCACAGAGGCTTGTGGTGCTATGGACTTAACGTAATTTACCAGGGATAACAACACAAACTCTGTTTAAATAATTCAAAACAATTTATAAGTCAGGTAAAAGTGTATTATGCCAGTTCATTCAATCAGTTCATAAACAATTAATATAAGACATCCACTCAGAAATGCCAACTGGCCCAGCCGGGACTCTTGCTGTGAGGCAACAACACTACCCACTGTGCCACAATTAATAAAACAATAGCATAGCCAAGTCTAAACATGGACTAAAGCAGAAAAAGTAAATGTTTAAACAACGCACTCAGTAATTTTGTGAGGCTTTATTCAAGTAATTTATCCAGGCCATGAAGACATTAAAGTAGTAAAAACACAGAAACATTGTAATTATGTAATAAGCACATTTTAAAGTCTCAATTTCATAGTTCTTATGTAATTAAGAAAAGTCCTGAAAAAACAACAACTTTTTGTTTTTCACTTGAAGAGGGTCTGGGGTCGTATAGAGCCTAAACACAATATTAATTAAATAATTAAACTGTTCCCTGCATGATCACCCCACAAAAAAGGCACAAAACTATCACATTTTGTCATGTTTTTATGCCTTCTTCTTCTTCTGAGATTTCTTGAAGCACTTTCTGAAACAGAACATGCAGCTTTTGACAGTCACAAAAATAACAGTCAATAGAATAAGAAGAAGGAAGCCGATGACGTCCAGAGAGTGATACTGAATCCAGTTCAGGTCATGGGCTGCAGGTCTGAGATGCTCTGCTCCTTTGTGTCTCATGACAAACTCAGTCCAGAACACAGCCAGGTCCAGTGGTTCAATTGGACGGTCTCTATGAATGGCAGAGAGCTTCATCATCTTCTCCTTGTAGCTGTTGATTTAGAGATAAAGGAATATGTTGATTTTTGTTTTCATTTTTTAAAATCATTTTGGTGAAGGACTTAAACAGGTTTCAGTAAGAAATTATTATTAAATTTCACAAATAAATAGCACTGTAGTTAAAGGGCTTCACTGATGTAAATTTAGTGTTTAATGTTGTGGTTGGAGCATAAATAAGGGTGTGTGTAATAGATTTAAAAAAACTGGGATTTTTAAAAACAAAGCATTCCCTAAATGCATTTCTTTTTTTTTCCATAGTGTAATAGTTCTATTTAAAATTGTAATGTCCTCAACAATTCTTTTTATGCTGAAAGTGTTCTTCATGAGTTTAGGGTTCTTAATATATATATATATATATATATATATATATATATATATATATATATATATATATATATATATATATATATTTTTTTTTTTTTATGTATTTTTTAATTTTTATTTTCCTATTTGTGTACTTTGACCTGTCCACACACACGCATGCACACCGGCCTGTACCTGACTGTTTTTTTTTTCATCTTTGTTCTTTGTTTTCTTTCTCTCCATTTGTATGTGATTTAATGTAGTTCTGTATCTTTTTTCATAATAAAAACATATTAAAAATACATAATATAATATTATATAATATATAAAACTAATATGAGTAGTTCCAGTACTCATTCATTCATATATTAATTTTCCTTCGGCTTAGTCCCTTAACTCATCAGGGGTCACCACAGCAGATTGAACTTGCAACTTATCCTGCATACGTTTTACACAGCGGATGCCCATCCAGCTGCAACCCAGTACTTGGAAACATCCATACACTCTCATTCACACACATACACTACGGCAAATTTTGTTTACCCAGTTTACCTATAGCCCATGTCTTTGGACTGTGGTGGAAATCGGAGCACCTGGAGGAAACCCACACGAACACAAGGAGAACATGCAAACTCCACTCCAGAAGTGGCAACTAACCCAGCCAGGACTCGAACCAGCAACCTTCTTGTCAAGAGGCGACAGTGCTGACCGCTGAGCCATGTACCATATCGCCTAATTCTAATATTAATAAAATAAATACTGCATATATATATATATATATATATATATATATATATATATATATATATATATATATATATATATATATATATATATATATATATACAGTTGAAGTCAGAACTATTAGCCCCCCTGAATTATTAGACCGCTTGTTTATTTTTTCCCCAATTCTGTTTGACGGAGAGAAGATTTTTTTCAACACATTTTTAAGCATAATAGTTTTAATAACTCATTTCTAATTACTGATTTATTTTATCTTTGCCATGATGATGGTAAATAATATTATACTGGATATTTTTTAAGACACTTCTATACAGCTTAAAGTGACATTTAAAGTCTTTACTAGGTTAATTAGGTTAACTAGGCAAGTTAGCGTAATTAGGCAAATTATTGTATAACAATGGTTTATTCTGTAGATTATCGAGAAAAAATATAGGTTAAAGGGGCTAATAATGTTGTCCCTAAAATAGTTTTAAAAAAATTAAAAACTGCTTTTATTGTACCCGAAATAAAACAAATACGACTTTTTTCCTAAATAAAAAAATATCAGACAAACTGTGAAAATCCCTTTGCTCTGTTAAATATCATATGGAAAATATTTTAAAAAGAAGAAAAAAATTCGAAGGGGGCTAATAATTCTGACTGCAACTATATATATATATATATATATATATATATATATATATATATATATATATATATATATATATATATATATAAATTATTGTATAACAATGGTTTATTCTGTAGATTATCGAGAAAAAATATAGGTTAAAGGGGCTAATAATGTTTTCCCTAAAATGGTTTAAAAAATTAAAAACTGCTTTTATTGTACCTGAAATAAAACAAATAAGACTTTTTTTTTTTAAATAAAAAATATGAGACAAACTGTGAAAATTCCTTTGCTCTGTTAAATATCATATGGAAAATATCTAAAAAAGAAGAAAAAAATTTGAAGGGGGCTAATAATTCTGTCTGCAACTATATATATATGTATAAATTATTGTATAATATATATATATATATATATATATATATATATATATATATATATATATATATATATATAATTTTTTTATGAATATAATGAAAATATTTTTTTTTAGTTGAAGGTGAAGAACCCCAATTTTATATTGTTTAGAACCATTTTCCTAAGAGTGCAGAAAGAAAGAAATCTAAAGTAAAAATAATTAAATAAATATTTTATCTGTAAATTAAATTGAAAAACATTTATTAGAGAAAAAAATACAGGGCAAAATCCTCTTAAATATATGGAAAAATAACTGTTCAGGAAAGTTCCATGAATCCAAACAGTTTGCATCACTGCATAAACTATTTTATGAACAAGCTGAATAGGATTACCTTTTATCATTGATGACTTTCTTCAATGCAACCAGCAGTTTTTCGGAGGTCACATCATAGATAGTCAGGCTTTCTGCGACTCCTCGAGACACCAAACGCTGAGCATTATCCCCTTGGTCTCCAAACAGAGGAAGCATCACCATAGGCACTCCATTACAGATTCCTTCATAGATTCCATGTGATCCACCATGTGTAACAAAAGCCCTAACCTTAGGATGGCCTATAACATAAGAGAGTTAGAGCACAATATTTTTTCTAGTAACACTTTAGTTTAAGTACCATTTTCTATTATTAACGACTGACTTATTCTAAATTCAGATATTTTTAATCAAAACAAATATTAGTTGTTGTTTTTTTGTCACTTGAACTTAAAACAGTGGAAATGCTACTATTGTCAATGTGTTTTGCTGTCCAGTTGGAATCAAGCAGGGTTCAGAATTAGATAGTGGTCGACTGTTTGAAGATTGAGAATAAACGGAGAACATAAACATACCCAAGAGGTCATTCTGTGGCAGCCATTTCATTAATTTGACATTCTTTGGTGCATTTTCTGGGACTGGTCCAGTGTATCTCCACAACACCTACAAATAAAAGAGAATCAAGAGGGCTATCATTGTGCAGTCACGTAATCCTAAGCAAGCATTTTTTTGCATGACAATACTTTGTCACACATGGACAAAAAATTCCTTTACGATAGTGTAACAATAATTTTGTATTTAGCTTATTAAAAACTGGAAAAGTCTTTAAGTGTATTGTAACTTACTCTCTGAGGTATCTGTCTAAATGCCTCAAAGAACTCTCTGGCTTTGGCTTCGGGTAGCTGTGACACCATGGAGCCCAGAGTGAAGACAACAAACCCGTGCTCTCCAGAGCCGTTCACAAACTCCTCCAGTTCCTGCACAGAGGGCAGATGGCCACACTGAACACATGTATCACATTTCACAAACACAATGGCGCAAGTTTTCACTGTTAACTTCACTCTATTTATCACTCACACACACATACAGTACCCACATGAACCTGTATGTTCAGAAATGCAGCATACTGCAATAATAAAAACAGGTCCAGGTAAAAAGAGCAATTAGCTGTTTTCTTACTCAGCAGTGCACAACTCAGCTGCAAAAGTGCCTCCATTACTCTGGCGATTCATTTTGTAAACACAAAAGACTCTCAAAGATTACAGTGCTCAATGTCGAAAGGAAAAAAAAAAACACTGCTGCCACAGCGTTTAGAGTTGTTTCATATAAACAAGTTATAAATGTCTTCAAAAGGCTATGACCATAGTTGATGAAAGATTAGATATTTGAACATTGATCATAATTTTGCGGGTTGAGTACAATTTATTAAATCGTACCATTAAAAACAATGCAGCATTTAAAGTAAACAGCAGCCTATATCATGTTCTAGAAATACTTCATGGAAATTAATAAATTTTGAGACATCAAAATAGCATCAGCATATATTCTGACCTGGACTATCAGCTTCTATTTTGACCCACAATTCTAACCTTTGCAGGATACAAATTATATAGTGCAGGATAGTTCCAAGTCCATTTTTACTGAGGGTCATTTTAGCATTACGGCTGCCCTCAAAGGACTGGTTACGAGACTTTATAAATGTTACTACTCCTTAACATATTGTTATATTATTGTCTCTTGATTACATATTAAAGTATTGTAGAACATATTAAATTAACAAATACAATGCAACCCAGAAAGTATTCATAGCGCTTCACGTTTTACACATTTTTTATGTTACAGCCTTATTCCAAAATTGATTAAATTAATTTATTTTCTCAAAATTCTACACACAATACCCCATTAGGACAATGTGATTTTTTTTTTTTTAAATTGTTGCAAATTTATTAAAAATAAAAACCTGAAAAATCACATGTACATAAGTATTCACCTTTGCTGTGAAGCTCTAAATTGAGCTCAGGTACCTTCTGTTTCCACTGATCATTCTTGAGATGTTTCAGCAGCTTAATTGGAGTTCACCTGTGGTAAATTCAGTTGATTGGACATGATCTGAAAAGGCATACACCTCTCTATGTAAGGTCCCAGGGTTGACAGTGCATGTCAAAGCACAAACCAAACATGAAATACAAAGGATTTGTCAGTAGACCTCCGAGACAAAATTGTCTCAAGGCACAAGACTGGGGATAGTTACAGAAAAATTTCAGCTACTCTGTAAGTTCCAGTGAGCACAGTGGCCTTCATCATCCGTAAGTGGAAGATTTTTGGAACCACCAGGACTCTTCCTAGAGCTGGCCAGCCATCTAACCTGAGTGATTGGGGAGAAGGGCCTAAGCTAGGGAGGTGATCAATAACCTGATGGTCACTCTGTGTGAGCTCCAGCGTTCTTCTGTGAAGATAGGAGAACCTTACAGAAGGACAATCATCTGTGCAGCAATCCACCAATCAGGGCTGTATGGTAGAGTGACAAGACGGAAGCCACTCCCTGCCTAAATCTGCTAAAAGGCGTCTAAAGGACTTTCAGACCATAAGAAATAAAATTCTTTGGTCTGATGAGACTAAAATTGAACTCTTTGGAGTGAATGCCAGGGGTTACGTTTGGAGAAAACCAGGCACCGCTCAGAACCAGGCTCATACCATTCCTACAATGAAGCATGGGGGTGGCAGCTTTATGCTGTGGGGATGTTTTTCAGCAGCAGGAACTGGAAGACTGGTCAGGATAGAGGGAAAGATGAATGCAGTAATGTACAGAGACATCCTGAATGAAAACCTGCTTCAAAATGCTCTTGACCTCAGACTAGGGCGACGGTTCATCTTCCAGCAGGACAATGACGGCAAAAAAGTATCAATAGAGTGGCTTCACAACAACACAGTGAACTTCCTTGAGTGGCCCAGCCAGAGCCCAGACTTAAAACCTATTGAACATCTCAGGAGAGACCTGAAAATGGCTGTACACTGTTGCTTCCCATATAACCTGATAGAGCTTGAGAGGTACTGCAAAGAGGAATGGGCAAAATTTCTCAAAGACAGGTGAGCCGAGCTTGTGTCATCATATTCAAAAAGACTTGAGGCTGTAATTGCTGCCAAAGGTGCATCAACAAAGTATTGAGCAAAGGCTGTGAATACTTATGTACATGTGATTTTTCAGCTTTTTTATTTTTATTAAATTTGCAAGAATTTCAAAAATATTATTTTTTCACATTGTCATTATGGGCTATTGTGTGTAGAATTTGGAGGAAATAAATTAACTTAATTCATTTTGGAATAAGGGTGTAACAAAAAATGTGGAAAAAGTGAAGCACTATGAGTACTTTCCGAATGCACTGTATATTCTTGTATTTGTATAAATGGACTAGAAATTAGAGTTAGATATAGTGTTACTTCTCTGAGTTACTTTAACATTAATATTTTTATCAGGTTAAGAAACTCACAGTAAGCAAATAAATCCCAAACCTTACCACATTTAATAGAAGTAGAACTATGGAACAACAAATAATTTTGAGCTACTAATGAGTGAATTCCGTAAATGTCAAATAAATCCCGCTTAATGAAATACTAATGTGGAAACATTGCTGTCTAGGGCATAAACAAAACAAACATGCATTATGGGTAGTTTTTATAGACATTATACACTATAAAGCAGCTCTGATTTTTATTATAATGCTGGTTCAACACCAATTCTGCGCATTTGCCGCAAACATTTGCATCGACTCTGTAATCTTAATGTACTTAAATTCGCATTTGGTGTGAATCGTATGATTTTTATAGCTACATAAAACAATAAAGCTGCCAAATTTGGTCTGCGGGCCTTCAGATTAAAACATAGCGAGTCGAGGTAACATGCTTTAGTACAAATTATGATTAAACATGGCAAGCGTTTTCAAAACACAGTGGCATTGCCAGAATTCTGAAGCTTCAGTGTAACAATAGTGTCAAAAAATTAGCTTTTTTGTACCAGACAAAACAGAACATTAAAGATAGTATGCTCATTTTAACATTACCTTGGTCAGTGGAGCCCTCTTTACACAGTTGATTCCACCTATCTGGACCATATTGGGCATTTGCGGTCTAGGGAACTCAAAGGCAAAGTCATACCTTAAAAGCCAAACTGCACCATGACCTAACAGCTCTGCGTAGGTAGTTTCCTTCTGCAAATATTTAGAGGCCAGTTCATCTGCAGATTCATACATGCTGCGGCAAAGGAAACCTTCAACAACTGTCAAAAGTGTGTTTACTAGTCTCTGAGGGAAAGTCATCTTATCTGTAAAACCACTGGAGTAGCGAGGCATAAAAGAAGGAGGTGAAGGACACTGAGCAGCTGCTTCATCAAGACGACAAGGAATCAAACGCAAGAAGTAAACAGCAGGAATCGAGAAGGAGTCAGCAATGATAGTGCCACAGGGCAGGAAAGGATCCGTGAGCATAGCATCAAATCCCATTTCTCTTAGACTCTTCATCAGAGGCTCGTTGTACAGCAGTCCTTCACATGTTTTCGACTGCATAGTTAGGAATTGCAATAGATTCCTGAAATTGACAACAATATCAGTTAACTTGGGAGCCTTCTCCAATGCACTGTTCTGTATCTCTTTCAAATTTTCAGCCAGATCATCATGGGTGAAGGAGACAGGATAAGTCTTGGTGCTGTATTTCCCAGATTTTTTTATCAGAATACTAGTTTCAGGGACCAGAACGACCATCTCATGTCCCCTATTAGACAGCTCTTCCACTAGGATCTTCATGCTCAACCAATGGCTGCCATCCACTGGTAAGACAAGCACCTTTCCAGCTTGCACAGACTCAAAAGAGAACAAGCACAGCAAGGCGAGAAGCCCCTGAGCAGGAACAGGCAGTGTTCTCATCCCTCCAATGTTTATACAGTAGACAAAGAGCAGAAGTACATTAACAGTAGTGTAATGTTCTCAAAATAGGAGTGGCTTCCAACCTAGCCACAAGGGAAATGTTGATTTCCTGCTGTAGCACGCTACTAATAAGCCCAGAGATTTGTGCTTTGTCACTGCACAGTAGTTTAAAGTCTTGCCATAGTAGGTTAAATGTAGCTCTTGGTTAATGATTTCAAGAACGTACGAGCATAAAATGACTGTTATAATTTAGATACAAAGGTAAAGTGGGTCACATGTCCTGAACATGTCAGCAGTCTTATGTTAAATTTAGTTCATGCAGTAAGTATCAAACAAGGAGCAATATTTTTGCAGTATGTGTACATTTCATATATACAGTTTATAATTGTCATAAATATGTCAAAGATATGCAGAGATAAATACATTTTCTGTTTTTTGTGGTCTGTATGCAGACTGATTTAGAAAACAATAATAATAGATTATGCCATTAGAATCAAGATTAACTACATTTTTACTAAGAATTTAAGGTTTTTTAAATGTATACAATGACATTTTTTCCTTTAATATAATATCAACTTCAAGACATTTATGACCAGACATTTATAACTTTGTTAGATTTGTAACTTAATAATCACACAAGGGATGTACTTCCATGTATGTATAAGTTGCAGTTAAATAAACGAATTGGTCAAAAAATGGTCATAACCCAGGTCTTGCAAAGAAGTTATAGTCTTTCCAAAACGGTCTATAATTCAAACTATGTTTTGTAGGGGGAAAAAGCTTTACAGTTTCATAGAGGGGAATAGTAAGAATGCCTGTTATGCAACTTCCACTGTTCATAGGGGAACTCTTAGTAAGTCATGCAAATACATGAACTCTCACTTACTAAAGGGTTGTGGAAAGAGGGGTTTGTCATTCTAAAGCAAACTACTCTGAATGAAAAAAAAAAAGCTGAGAAAGATTACTAAACATGTTTTAACGCAAGGACCAGCTTCCTGCTGTATCAGTCTTACTTTGATTCATTGGTAAAATTACTTGTTGAAAAGCTGTTCATTAAAAAAAAAAAAAAAATGAGGGCAACATTTAACCAACCCAAAAGCATATAAACCTGTTTGATCCAAACTCTTAATGGATTTAGAAACTAGCCTACAAAACTAGTTCTAAAGTAGGGCTGGGAAGATAAACGATATTATATCGAATCGCGATAAAAATTTATGTCAATAACAATGAAAAGCTCTGGACTTTTTTACTCTATATTGTTTTATTAGCCAATCACACAGCAGAAATGTGCAACAATGGAAATCTAAAAGTGTGCAGATATTAGAGATGTATCAAAATTTTGGCTTCAGTCATTGTTGGGGTACATTTTATTACTGGAAGCATTAACAACTTGTATCAAAATATATATTGTTATCAGTCAATAAGGAAAATTATCATCGAGATTGCATTATTGCCATATTGCCCAGCCCAAGTCTAAAGTCAATCAAAAAATGAATCCATACCCCACTTGCTGTAACATCAAGTCTCTTTTTCTGTAATACTATATATATATATAATACACAATTAATGATGTACTAATATGTAAACTAAACATTATTTCATAATGAACTAATGATGATTTAAAGCATGCACTAATCATGAACTTACTTTAACTACAACATGAATCACTTGGGTTCATGTGTGTTAACAATGGCTACCTTAACTACTTATAGGAAAATGTTTGTTAATTAATGTATTAATTAACGCTTTAGTTTTAGCTAAATGTATCTAACATGAACTCAGGACTATTAATGTATCTTTGTTATCACTTTACTTGGAGGGGGGCATTATCAATAACTCATTGTTAAATAATCATGAACTCCTGCATTTAAATGTAACAGTTATGCACGTCCGTCTAGTGTGTGTTGAAAGCAACGTGCTCAGTCTACATCAAAATGAACGGCTTAAATATCTGTTTATCTATGTAAAGTTTACATATTAGTAGATTATTATTCTTGTACTGTTATTATAAAGTGTTACCAATCACATAACGACTTGAATAGAATGCATTGAAGACTCACATGCGTTAAAGGTTTAGGCTTCTGGTTAACTGTTGCTCCAATCATCACCATGTTTGGCATCACTGGGCGTGGAAATTCCAATGCAAAGTTGAAACGCAAAAACCAGAGAGCTGCACGGCTGAAGATTTCAACCATCGATGTTTTTCTCTGAAGCAAATGTGAAGCGATTTCATCTGCTCGAGCAAATATTAGTTTGCAAGCCTTGGGCTGAAGAAGAGCCCTTACAAAGTTTATACTTCTTTGCCAGAGATTCATTCGGTCAGTAAAATGAGTAAATGTTTGTGGAACATAAGATGGTGGAGCTGGGCATTGACTGGCAAGAGTATCAACACCACATGGATGGTTTATTTGCATGTAAATTGCTGGAATTGACAGATATTCCCCAGCAATAGCTCCAACTGGCTCAAATGGATCGGTGAGAATGGCATCAAAGTTGTAGTCTTGCAGTTTCTTCATCAAGTCTTTGTTGAAGAGCAAACCCTCAGCGTTCCTCAGTATGAATGTTTGCAGAACATTAAGTGTGAAAAAGAATGACTGGAACTTGGCCAGGTCTGTAGAGACGTCAATACTCAGAAGGGCATTTAATTCAGAGGCTAATACCGCTTCTAGTTCAACCTTGGTGTAGTTCACTGGATATGTCAGAGTGGTGGTTTTCTCTGAAGGACCCATACTCAGACTTGCTTCTGGGATGACGACCACCACCTGGTTTCCTCTCCTCCCAAGCTCCTCCACAATAGGCTTCAAACCTAACCAGTGACTGCCATCTGTCGGGATAACCAACAGTTTCCCAGCTTCAGCTGAACCAAGGAGGAGCAGACTCCCGAGCAACCACAAGCAAGCCATTTGTCAATGATGTGAAGTACAGTGGCAGGAGAAGAAAATACCCATGTAAATGTAACCATACAGGCTAAAGTACAATCTTACAATCAGTCTGGATTAGGTTCAAATGGGTGGAGATGCAGATAGTAGCATGTGCACAGCCAAATATGGCATTAAAGCAATCACTGCCTTTCACTTGTTTGTCGATTATTCATATTTATGTGCAAAGAAGAACTTGTTTATCTTATATTAAACCTTGTTTAAATTATAGTATTCTTAATTAGACATTGGTAGTGACATGGCTTAAATGAACAATAAACTAACAGCAGGGAGCCATAAAAATAAAATGATTCATCAACGTACACCTTACAACATGCATTATTGCATTTAGATTCACAATTTCATGGACCATGCTATGGTGACCTGGAAAAACAGCTCTGACCTATAACCTTACCGACGAGAATGTCATTCGCTCTGGCCATACTACCATTAATGCTTTAATAATCAAACATGTTTACAATCAAATGCACCGATTAAAATCCATTTATGTGGTGAGGCTTTTGTGTTCATGTTCAAGTCCTAGTCTAATTTCAACATGCAGACACAGCTACTAGCCTTGGTGCTGGCAATAATATTAATTTGTGCGCAACCTGCTGGAGCAATATTTAATCTTTGCTTCATTTTGCTTGGGAACTAATGTGGATGGAAGCAAAGTTTACATGATTGGGTTCAATAGAATCTTATCAAGTGATGGACATCTACATTCTGATTGTTTACCACAAAACAGCATCATTTTTACCATAAAGTATTACCATAAAGTTTACCTAATTCCAACTCTCTTTGATGCCCACAACACGCAAGATGCCCTGTGTCACTAGCTCACATTGAAAATGTTTGCCTTTTTGCATCTTTGACAAATGGTTAGGGCATGGATTAGATAACAGCTTGAGTTTGATTCATTGTAAGTTTCTGAAGATTGAGTAAATAATATTTTACAACATGCCTTAAATACACTCCTAAAGCCTGCACAAGTTTTCACTGATTGTAAAATATATATGCAAGTGTGAGTGGTTTGTATTTTTTGCAAAAGACATCAGAATGACTGACAATGCTCATTAGCATCTTACCTTGGTTAGTGGAGCCCTCTTTGCACAGTTGATGCCCCCAATTTGAACCATGTTTGGCATTTGGGGTTTAGGGTATTCAAAGCTGAAGTCGTACCTTAAAAGCCAAACTGCACCGTGACCTAACAGCTCTGCGTATGAGGTGTCCTTCTTCAAATATCTAGTGGCAAGTTCATCAAAGCTGGCAAAAAGTTGGTGGCATAGGTACTTTTCGAAAACTGTCATGAAAGTGTTTATCATTCTCTGGGGGAAAGTCATCTTGTCTGTGTAACCAGTAAAGAAGCGAGGAATAAATGATGGCGGTGAAGGACACTGAGCAGCTGCTTCATCAAGACGACAAGGAATTCCACGTAAGAAGTAAACAGCAGGAATAGAGAAGTAATCAGCAATGACAGAGCCACAGGGCAGGAATGGATCAGTGAGCAAAGCGTCAAATTTCATGTCTCGAAGACTTTTCATCAGGGGCTCGTCATACAGCAGTCCTTCACAGGCTTTCACCTGCATATTAGTGAACTGGATCAGATTTCCCAAAGCACCCACGATATCAATGAATCTTGGAGCTTTCTCAATTGCTGTCTTTCTTATGTGGTCCACGTGAGCATTCAGTTCATCAAAGGAGTAGGGAACACGGAAAGACTTGGTGGTGAAATTCCCAGACTTCCCAATCAGAATACTAGTTTCAGGGACCAGGACCACCATCTCATGACCCCTACTAGACATCTCTTCCACCAGGATCTTCATGCTCAACCAATGGCTGCCATCCACTGGCATGACAAGCACCTTGCCAGCTTGCACAGACTCAGAGGAAAACAAGCACAGGAAGGCGAAAAGCCCAAGTGCAGGAACAAACAGTGTTCTCTTCATCCCTCCAAAACTTGTGGAGCAGAGAGGCATGTGCCACTTTTGAAAAGACTTCAAAACTATTTGAGGGGCGTTAAAAGTAGTCAAAGAGGGAGTGAAGGTTGATAGGTCATTGGCTGCGTTTGAGTTCAGCCCAAATAATAAGCTCAGATGATTACGATTTGTAACTGCACAGAAGTTTAAAGTCTAACAAGTGGGTTAAATGTAGCACTGGGTTAATTATTTCAAGAGTGCAT